TAGAGAGTCTTACCCGGCAATTTCCCCTCTACAGCCTGAAAACAATCAGGCCGGAAAAACGGTCCTCGTCACTGGTGGCGCAGGCGGCATCGGCTTCGCTATCGCGACGGCCTTTGTTCAGGCTTCGGCCTCGCATGTCATCATCGTCGGTCGACGCCGAGGATTCCTCCAAGATGGTGTCAAGCGACTCCAAACTGAGGCTCGGGCCACTGGAACCAATACAGAGATCAGTGGATATTCCTCTGATGTTTCTGATCTTGAGGCAACCGAGAAGTTGTGGGCTGGGTTGAAAGAGGAAGGAATTGTTGTGGATGTATTGGTGCTCAATGCCGTAGCTCTGGGTCCTTCTGGGCCATTGGTGGATGCCGACTTGCAATCAGTGTGGAAGGCGTACAAGGTGAACGTTCGCTCGCTTCTAGATCACACCCAGCGCTTTTATCAGCAAGAGGGTGAAAAACAAAAGGTACCATACAATGCTATAACTCCAGTCCAGCCAAGCCTTTTTGCTGACATTATTTAGTATCTAGTCAGTGTGTCTTCCTCCATGGCACATAACTTGGACAATGAAAACCCCTTCTTGTCAACCTACGGAGCAACGAAGAATGCTGGCCAAGTCCTGATTCAGCAAATTGCGAGAGATGTCGGCCCTGAGAAGATGCAGATAGTCAGCTTCCACCCAGGTGCTGTCTACTCGGAGGGGGCCCAAACGGGCGGTGTCACCAAGGACATGGTCGATTTTTGGGATGATGGTATGCTCTGCCTGCCCAAAGCCTTCTTGATGAGGGGATTGAAGCTAACTTGGTAACAGCGGCGTTGCCTGGCAACTTCGCCGTGTGGGCGGCCACACCCGAGGCCAAGTTCCTGCATGGTCGATTCCTCGCGGCCTGGTGGGATGTAAATGAGTTGAAGGACGTTGCACTTCAAGAAAAGCTCGTTTCTGACTGGCACCTGTTGAGAGTTGGTGTGAACGGGCTCTGAGACCTGGATGGTGGCACAGGCTTCGGTGTGTTTGTTGTCAGAAAATGGTCTGCGGGCTCTGGAGGAGTCTTGTTGAGATTGTATCATATGAACAGAGACAGCTAGTCTGCCTTTCTCGAGACATCCCCTGTTTTGAGCCGTGCCAAGCCATTTATTCAAACTTCCTGGCAACCTGTGAAGACAAGCAAAAGTCTTTCCCAGGTCTGCTGTCATTGGTTCATGTGCGTTGGAGGTTGTCTCTACACCAAGTCAAAGAAAAAGCAGCTGCCACCCAAAGCGAAAGAGTGGCTGATGCCCTTTTTAGGGCTGATGAATGCTTCTTCAAGAACGCCTGACTTGCGTAATGGTAGCATATGCCTGCACTCGGGACTGGTGGTTCTGTCCATATCTCTTGCGCTGTCTGACCCCAGGCGCCAGGTTCGAGACCGCATTAGCTGCCTGTGGGGGGCCGGTAATAGTGACGCCGCCAGTGGCAGGGCTGATTTCAACTGGATCATGACCAGTGCGCTTGACTGTGATGGCAGTCGAGCTCGACAGTGGCTTTTGTCACACAAGCAGCGATGGACCAATCTCTGTCTCTGATCAAGGCGTGCTCCGCCATCCCGAGACTTCCTCTGACCAATCACCTATTATCTCGACCTCAGTATCCTGACGCTGATTTGAACGATGTCGACCACGCCGCCACTGTGCTTTTTGTCCACCTTCCCGGATGCCCCTCCAATATCCACCATTCCGCATTCAACAGCCGCCGGGTGGCAGTAGCTGAATGGGAAGACGAGGTAGCTGTCGGAGCCCAATGTGTGCTATCTCGGGGCGCTGTGGGATGGGGCGTCGGGAATCGTGGTGCCACGACATTCGGGGGAGCGTCTGCAGTATCAGTGTTTCCGAGGCCTTATCCTGGATGATCATGTCTTGCAATTCCCCTGTTGTGGTCTGTGGCCGCACCTGTCGCGTTCTCCTCCCACGTTGTCAATATTCTTTTCAATTTGTCGTCATGCGTTGAAGCGTTTACTTTTGCAACTTTCCACGAGTGACGAGTCGCACCAATTCGCAAGTGATTACCTCTTGCTCCTTGCCACCTTCCTCGCTGCTCAGACAGTGGACACCCACCGCCCCTTCCCTTCGGACCATAGGCCCCACTTGCTGAACCTAGGTTTTCACCAGATGGGAAGAGAGGAGAGATATGTTTCCCCGCCAGCTTCAACCTTTTGCTATTCTCTTCATCACGTTCTTTTCCCTGTCAGTTGCACAGTATGACCCGCTCAAGGATTTCTGTCGAAGGCATGGACACCAGTCGGCCGTCGTCGACAACCGGCTCTACATAGACGGGGGGCTCGTGAATTGGAAGCCATTCACCTCGTCTTCGCCAAACTATACCAGTACATTGCCACTTCTTACCTATTTCAGTGACCTTGGGTGCTTCCTGATACTTACCTGTCTCTGTAGATCCCTTCCTTACCTTCAGTGATCTCAGCACTGAGACAAAGGATATGCCCACGTTGCATGCCAACCTCTCCAAGAATGCGACAGTTCCGAGTGTCATGGGTGGGAAGCTATGGGAGGACTCGGTCAACAAAAGATTGTATCTTTACGGCGGCGAAACCTACCAAGCACCCCCGACGAACTTCCTGCTCTACGCCTATGACATTCTCAAGGACAAGTGGGATTCCTTTGGCCCACCAACGGGAACTGCCGCTATCACTCCAACTAGCTTTGGTGCCGGCGTGTCCATTCCCTCGCGAGGAGAGGCATATTATTATGGCGGATTCCATAATAATGGCTCCGTTCCGGGCTGGACAGGGCCGCCACGAGCCTCCAATAGACTAATCAAATACGACATGGACAGCAACGCATGGAGTAACGTGACCGGCCCCGACGACGTCAGGAGGGCCGAGGGCGAAATGTTCTTTCTTCCACTTAGTGACGCCGGCATGCTTGTGTACTTTGGGGGCAGTCAAGATTTATTTGGTAACGGAACCCTGACACCCGAACCACTGGATACTATCTTTCTCTACGATCTTGCCAATGGGAAATGGTATGCACAAAAGGCATCTGGCAGAATTCCCGAGAACCGACGTCGATTCTGCGGAGGCGCGACCTGGGCTCAAGATCAATCCAGTTACAACATGTTCGTGCTTTTCCTTTTTTCTCATCAGCATCGCACAGAGGCTGACGACCTGTAGTTACATCTACGGTGGCTCCGGGTTCCCTCCTAGCACGGCAGGATATGATGACATCTATGTCCTCACCATCCCTAGCTTCCAGTGGATCCGAGGTCCTTACCCAGAGGGTAGCAACGTCACCGGCCCTTACCCAAAGAACATGATGAGCTGTAATGTCGTCAATAATGCCCAGATGGTGATTGTCGGCGGCTCAAATTCTAATACAACTGGTTATGATTGTGACGTTGACGTAGTAGGGGGCCAGCACAACATGAATCTCGGCCAGGAGAATCCAGAGAAGGCCATTTGGGCAAGGTATCAACCGAAGCTTACAACATACGCCGTACCTACCTTCATCATGACAGTGGTCGGTGGCCGTAACACGGGAGGCGCAAGGGTTCTCACCCCATCTGGGGGATTCAATGCACCAGACCTCTCGGTGATAATGACCAGGAAAGCCGTCATATCAACTCGCACACCAACGCGGGATGTCAGCCAAGAAACTTCTTCGGCTGCCTCTCCAAGCGGAGGAGCCGAACCTGCAACGCCTTTAAGCCCCGGGGCCATTGCTGGGATTGCGGTCGGAGGTGCCGTGGTTCTGATTGCCATTCTTGTGGGTTGCTGCTGTTTCATCCGATATCGCCAGAAGCACTACAAAGGACCTCGCCAACCAAACCACGGGGTACCTCCACATGGTTGGGGTCCATCTGGACCTCTATCCCCTGCATCTCCAGCTATCACACAAATCTCGTATGCCCACACAGTTCCGACCCAGCCTCAGTCACCGGTAATGCTGCCATCCGTCCCCATCTACCCGCCAGCAGAACTTGGCACAAATGAACATGATCAATACCGAACAGCCCGAACAAGCCCGGCAAGTGTGGCGGCAAAGCACGACAGTTCACCCTGGGGTACCCACGTGTCAACTCCGCAGACGCTGGAACCGCCAACTCCGGCCAGCGGGCCATATCCGAACCGAACACCGTCATACACCGAACGGGGCCTGAGAGCGGTGCAGCCTGGGGCTCCATTTTGGTCTTCAACATCTCCATCGCAGATGCAGCAGCCTCAGTTTCAGCCAGCACAGGAAACTCAGGGAGGAAATCCGTGGCTAGGTGTTCCAAGAGATGGGCATAACATGTGGGATAGGTAGTATGAGGAATAGGTTACCGTCTTCTCACTGGGGCCTGAGTTGGACATATAGGCGTAGACTTCCGGTATATGTTTATGATTTTACGTAATTTTATCCAATTTTCTGGTTTAGGCATCAGGGGGTTCTTTTCATGATGACGTTAACCTTGGGATTACGGATGTGTACGCTGTATAGTAAGTAATCAGGTTCTCTAGCAATATATGCGAATTCAACGGCAGAAAAGGACTGCAAGGTTCTAGACCAAGATGTAATAACCATACCTGCAATACGGCTAATTCCACTGCACACAATTGATAGGCCTTCAAAAGCTAAACTTGGTAAGACGATGTTTAAAGACAATTGTTGTGTGTTGACTTTGACTACTTGGTTTGCCGCTTATTTCATCCACGGTATATTCACACATGTCTCACCAAAAGTCGGGTAACATGCCAGTGGGGCTCATCTCCTTCCAATTGCAAAAGGACGCCCCAAAAATACGCCCGCTGAGGTAGGTATGTTAATCCGTCCTGAAATTCCCCGGTCCGGAGGTTTGGGTTCCTGCAAGTGTGAACCAACCGTGCTGTGGGGAAAACAATGAATGCTTTCAGTCCTCTGCATTAGGGAGGGCTTAAGTGAAAGTTGGGTTCATGAATTAAGAAATAAGGGGTTAAAGGAGATGGTAAAAAAAAGGAGAGGAACTTGGCGGGTGGAGAAGTCGCAAAAATGTACTCTCCCGCCGGGAATTGAACCCGGGTCTCGAGCGTTGTTGATATTGACAAGCTCACATACTGACCACTATACTACGGAAGATCTACAAGTGTTTGGGCACCTGTTGTAGTGAGAGGAATTGGGTACGGTTTGTTGCGGAAATAGAGCCTATATTAGGGAAGCCGCTAATAAGTTTGAATATCACTGGTGCGCTTGGCCACCGTTGTCTATCTGAATGGAGTGCTCAAAATTTGGTAGGAAAGGTTACACTAGAGAAATGAGGGCAAAGGCAAAGCATCTGTTTTTGTGACGTCTCCGAGTTATTATCGCCAAGTATCCCCCTTTGTCCTGACGTCATGGCGTCCCATTCTAGATTCGTGCTCTCAAAGCCAAGGGTTTAATCATCAAAGTGACGATAAGTAACGGTTTGAATCTCGGAGACATGGAAGAATCGTTGGTGGGTGTTGAGAGTTAAGATACAATGACAGACTGCCTCGAGCAGCTGTTGTTGCTTATATAGACGAATCCTATCTATATCTAGGAGTAGTTGAATATCCTGTCGTTCCCGAAACTAATAAACAATGAAACCGGCACACTTTTTTTTTTTTTTTTTAAAAAAAAAAAAAAAAAACAAGAAGGGTAGAACGGTGTAGGAATAATAATAATAAACAATGAAACAAATTCCCCTTCGAATCCAATAATATGCCATAAATATCTGCACGGCCGTAGCAATAAAAGTCATGAGACCCAAGGCTCATCTTTAAACCCCATAAACTCCAACGCGCCGAACTCACAAAAGACGAGTCGTCACGAACTTTGACGGCCATGTGCCCATCTTTCAGGCACTAAGCCCAAGCTCCAACTAAACTCATACAAATAGCGCCGAAAAGCACAAGGACGCAAGCCGCGACCCGCCTGCGACCCCGGAGAGTAGCCCAGCTGTCATCACTGAGGAAGTCCTCGGCAAGCAGTTCGATAAGCGCAGCAAAGACAAGCAAACCTGATGAGATTGCGTTCATGGTTCCCACCAAGATCAAGCCAAACTCGGAGCTGGGGCTGTAAAGCATGTGGGTGGCTAAACCAATGGCCTGGCCGATAGGCGTTCTGAAAGTATTCCTGTTAGCTTCTTCATCACTCGGATATGCGCGATGTTCCACAAAACTTACGTGCATCCATAAGCCAACACCATGAACCATGGCTGCAACATCCCCTTCTGCCAGTTGATAGAAGCAATGCGGGCTCCCAAAGCGAGACCTTCAAACGTTTCTACAATAGATCTTAGCCACAATGCTACTTACATGAAGAACAAGAAGGAAAATAACTCACGGTGAAAAGCAACAGCAATCAACAAGACAACAAAGTCGCCGCCCACGGAAACACTCAGCGCCATGCCGATGAAAATACTGTGAAATAAGATGCCCACCTCGAGGAGCATGCACTGTAGGATCTTCTTCTTATGCAGCTGCTCGTCAGTGAGGCCCATGTGCTGGGACTCGACCATACCATCAAGTAGCTCCTTAGGCTTAAGTTTCTCATCGGGGCTGGCCGCCAGGTTGTTACCCCCAGCCGATACAGCCTCCTCGGAAACAGGCTCAATGACGGCTTGGCTTCCCCGACGGGTATTCATAGGAGGCCTCGTGATAGCTGCCAAAACCGGTGCCTGGGAGCAGTGGCCTCCAAACGACGTAGAGCGGTGCCGGTGGGCAGGCTGCTGCTTAGCCTGCGATCCGTCGCTGTCCCCTGCCTCTCCCCTTCCGGGACGAGGGGTGTACTGGCGAGCAGGACTAAACACCATCTCAATGACCGCCACAAAGAATATTCCAAGCAAGGTGATAGCACCAGGCATGGCGGGGTAGTCTTTCGTCCAAAAGCTGGATAGGCATGGATCCCCAAGTGAAATGAAAGCTGTCGGAAGAAGGTGTACAAAAGCGGTGGCGAGCAAGACGCCGGTACCGAAATGGCGAACGGCGAAAAAGAAGCGCTCGGGGATGCGAATAATCGGGAACTTGAGGGCGATCATGGGCAGGGCGCAGGCCAGGCCGGAGACGGCGAGGATGATGACCAGGGCGCCCACATGAAGCGGCATGTTGTAGTCGGCGGCAGTAATGCCGTTTGCACCGCAACGAGACCCCTCTATCCCACTGTCCTGGCGCTTGGTGAGTTGCTTCAATAGCAAGGTAGATTCACGGGTAACAGTAGTGTTGATATTGGTGGTGGTCGTCTCAATTGAATGACCACCCGGAAACATGGCCGGGACGCCGTGCCCGACCATGTGGACAATTGTCGACACGGCGACAACAGAGAGAATCCATCCAATCCAGCCCGAGGGGGGCCGGATCAGAGGCTGGGAACGACAGGCTCGGCCTTCACCACCAAGCACTGTCTGGGGAGCTGCAATGGGCGGATCTGTGGTGTTTGCTGTGTCAATGACGTTGAAACTGGAACATGCCGCGAGACCCCGCCTGTCAAAAAGGGGACATCAAATATCAGATAAGGGAGAACCTACGACCGCCCATTGCAGAGGGATTGCGCCCCCAATTGTTTGTCTTGTTGTCACAATTATTGATAAAGTTGTTTTTCTCGTCAGACAGCACCCCAAATGCACTGGCTGTCCCTCCGGACCCCCCATTGCGCTGCTCGCGGGCGTTGGCAATGCCATTGAGGTCCTCACAGGTGGTGAGGTCGGGTGCTAGGAACGGCGGGTTCTGGTTCCAATCGGGATGCTCATAGTCATCGTCTGTTCTCGAAGGGCGGTTCATGATTGGTCTTGTGGTTGGGTGACCGTCTGCTGTACTCGTGTAATACCGGGGGCTCTGTCCGAGCGGTTTGCTGCACAATTGCACGGCAAGTATCAGACACGGGCTTCGGCCTCTTTATGTACTTTGTGTAAACGAAGTAAAAGAGAAAAACACTGGATATGACTGACGAGTTGACTGGGATCATTTCTTGGTGAACAAAAATCGATCCGCTTGCAATGACAGCAAGTGGGGCACAGCTGAAGGGGTGCCAGTGATGTGCTTGAAACCGAACCCGCCTGCAAGAGCCGTCCTGGGTGCACATCCGACAGAATACGCCCTGAAGCGACCTCCCTATTGGGCAGCTCCTCGGGAACAGAGCGGTGAGATGTGGGGTCGGAATGTTACGGAGCCGGTGCCAAGATCGATACGAACTGCTGCGACACCCACGCAAGCGATGCTGTCTTGTTGGAAGTTGCCCGAAGGTTTCTTGGAGGAGGACAATGCCCAGCCATGCTGCGAAAATTCAGAAACCTTCTAGAGCGGTTCAGTGGGTTCCAACCCGCTTCTGTGCTAAGAATAACAAAAACACCTTGATGGCTGCTCCGAGCCCAGCAAACAAGTGGCATGTGATTGGATGCCCCGGATATCCATGACAAGCATCTGGTCATGGGACCAACACAACCTGCAAAATTTTGTCCGTGCTCCAGCACCAACGGGTTAGGGTTTTCTACGCTTTCTGCATTGAGATACTATCACTTACACCATGATACACTTACGGAGCGATATGTCGTCGCCGTATTGCTGTGCTATCTTCAATACGTAAATACGCTGAGCCATCAATGTTCTTGTCTTATCTGAAAACTGAGTTTACAGCCCGCTTCTCGCTTTCCCGCCGTCTGCCTCTGCCACGACCAAATTTCAAGGTGGACTTCGACATCTATAGGGCTGGTTTCTCGTGCTGTTGTCTCTTTTCCCCGCTCTTTTTCACCCTCCCCCGAAAATGGATCTCGCAATTGCGTGCACACCACGGGGATCGCCGTCGGCAATGGGCCAGTCCCCATATCAAATTTTCTGGGGAAATGGGGCGGGAATGGATCCCCGGTCACCTCCCGAGATCCCCCGGCCAAGACCCGATGCCCGGCATGTGCTCGGCAACTTTTGGCGCCTGTTTCGCAAGCCATCGGTGACACGGATGTCGTTGAGTCTCGTTCACAAATCACAGTTGCTTCCGGAGGAGTGGTCGGCGGATGCCGGGATCATATCCTGCAAGTTTCATCTTGTCGTCAGGCTGCTTTCCTCCAAACTTGTAGTCGGGCACTTAGGGTCGGGACCATAGTGTGTTGCATTGGTCTCTACCGTGCCAATGCCAACATTGTGAGGTCATCGCTGTCGGTGATATTACCTGGTCACGTCGCGGGCAAGAAAGCAGAAACTGCTACGTATGACCGAAAACCTTAAAAATGATCATCAGGGATTAAAGTCTCTTAAAAGATAGATAATAAATAGGTCTCAAATCTGGTTGGGTAGGCATTTCAAAATCCTTTAATGCCTCAGTATGTGTGTTGGCATTCTGGGTAACTAGTGGGTACAGTAAGATGTCAAACGGTGACTTCGTCAATACTGTAGTAACCATACTCAGTTCGCATCACATCTATCGAACTTGCCAATTCCTCTTCATCGGATCTCAGGCCTGTCAAAAGCACGCTACCTACCGGATGACACACGTGCTTGTAAGAAGCTTGGACCTACCTGACTGAGGTATGGAGCACCTCCAGGCAAATGGGGTGATTTGCTCTCAGGAGTGTCGAGGAAACAATTCTTTGGAACCTTGGCCACCTAACTGCTACTCCTCGAGTTCCGTCAGCTCCAACAGACGACAAACTCTTACGCTCAGTTCCAAAAGCCACTGTTATCGAACCGACTACAATTACGACAGATAGCTACAAATAACGTGCGTGATAAGCGAGCGGCGAATATAAGCGAGCGGCGAATATAAGCGAGCGGCGAATATAAGCGAGCGGCGAATTTTCCACCACCCCACCGCAACCATCCTCAATTACACAACCACAACACTAGGAAATAACAATAACTGAATTAGAAACAGATGAATCAGACGATTCTGCAGCTTCCTTGCACGTGCGTGCAT